CTCATGTATAGTTTGGTATGCCTTGTCGGCTAGTTTTTGTTGTATAGTCTTTCATAGTAGCGTGGTAGCTCATACCTTATATGTAGTTTCTTGATTGTCTGGTCATCCCCTGCTATGTATGTTCATGCCGTCATATTTTATTGCTGGTTGTCCATGATCCAGGTCTATCATTTATAATGATCTCGTCAGCCCTAAAAGATAATAATGAAGGTCAGATGAAATGTACGTTGGTGCTCGGCAAGTGTGGTCGGGTGCTAGTCATGGCCCTCCAGTTTAGGTCATGACATGCATGATGTACATAAGCCCCCATTAGTTGCATCAACAATGGGTACCAGCTGCTTCTGGCCTGATTCATCAACCTTTTTGGTGAGGATGCTCATTTGTGTCAATAGAGTGGCCGTATATTTAGCTATAAAGTTAGTCGGGTCTAAAGCCACTGAGTGAACCACAGGAGTGATTGGAGTATTTTTTGTTGTCCATCCTAAATTTTGTGCCATCTTGTCGAGTAGGATATTGCTTTCTCTGAATGTTCTGCTAAAAAATGCTCCACCTGCTGAAGCATCAACATTGGCTTTCAAGCTATCTGCCAAACCCATATTTCAGGAAGAATTGAATTTCGGGAAGTTCAGAGTTGTTTCAGAAAGAAAATTCTAAATTCAGAAGTTTTAAGTTGGAAGAGTTGATTAAGATTGGACTTTTGAGTAAACGACCGCGGAATCGGGATTTAAATATTCCAGTAGGTCCGTAAGATGATTTCGAACTTGGAAATGTTCGGGTTGAGTATCGGGTGATTTGAGTTCATTTCGATGCTTAATATGGAAAGTTGGCATTTTGGGGTTCCGAGCCTTGGAACAGGTTTGCATCGTGATTTATAACTTGCACGCAAAATTTAGCATCATTCCGGGATATTTAAGTATAATTTGGACGTGTTCGGCTAAGTTTAAAGTTTGAAAGTTCAAAGAAAGGTTTTGATCGTCTATTCATAATTTTGATGTTTATTTTGGCGTGATTTGAAGCTTCGACTAAGTTCGTATCATATTTTAGGATGCGTTGGTATGGTAGGATAGGGTCCCGGGGGCGTCGGGTGCGAATCAGATTAGAATCAGGTTGAGTTTTGGACTTAAGGAATTGCTGAAGCTTAAGGCTTCTGGTGTGATTGCACCTGCGAGGTTTATGGTTGCTGCTAAAGTAGTTCTGGGTGAGCTAAGCAATGGTCGTAGACGGGAGGAGGATTTTCGTATCTGCGAGCCCGCAGATGCGATGAGACTCCGCAAATGCGGAGTTGTAGAGGCGCGACTGGCTTCACAAAAGCGAATGAGATCACACAGGCGCGGAAGCACAGAAATGAGGTGAGGGCCGCAGAAGCGCCCTCGCAGGTGCGGCTAGTCGGGTCCTAAGTGACTTCTGCAAGAGCAGACATTTTTTCGTAGAAGCAGGGTGCCCGCAGGTGCGAGGATGCCTTGGCAGAATATATGTTGCTCAATCGGGATTTTTGCTCATTTCACTCATTCCTCTCTTGCTTGGGTGATTTTTGGGGTGATTTGGAAGAGCCATTTTCATCATCAATCTTGAAGTAAGATATTTCTACATATTGTGAGTTAAATACATAGCTTTTATATGAATTTAAAGATGAAAATTAGTAGAAATTGTGGAATTTTGGTAGAAAATCTAGAATTTGGTATTTTTGAATTTTGACCACAAAATTGGACATGGAATTAGGAATAAATTATATAATTGAGTTCATGGTGTTATGGGTAATGATAATTTTCAAGAATTGTTGGAATCCGGGCACGTGGACCCTAGGATTGACTTTGTTGACTTTTCGAGCGGAGTTGTGAATCGTTATAAATTGTTAAATTATACACACTGGAGTATATTTAGATGGAGTTGTACATTGTTTGAGTAGTTTTAGATCGTTTGGCTTTGAATTGAAGAGTTAGAGAGGCGTTGGAGCCGGTTATGTAACTTCGGAACGAGGAAAGTCTCCTGTCTAATCTTGTGAGCGGGAAACTATCCCCCCTAGATAATGTAATTCTTATGTGCTACTAGTTGTGGGTGCTACGTACGCACGAGGTGACGAGAGTCCGTACATAGATAAAGCATATTTATGTCCTGGGTTAGGCTAGATACTTATTGGGTATGCGTTGATTTACGTACTCATGATACACTTCTGCACCAAATGTGTAGAATCTGACAGGTTCAATGGGTAGTTATCTTGGTGCGTAGGCGCAGCCGCTGAGGAGACTTTACAGCTGCATTTTAGGCTATGTATCGCAGTCCACCAAGTCTCCATCGTACTATTTATTCTATCCTATCTTATTTACATTTTCAGACAAATGTTGTATTATTATTGTACTCCTTCGTAAATATTTATGCACTTGTGTCACTGGGTTTTGGGATGTCCTAGAAGTTGTTTGTGATTTTGCTTAGCATTTACACACTTTTATTATCTATTCGATTTAAATTGAAAATTTTCATGATTTTAATGCGCCAAAATCTTTATTCTAATAAAATTTATAATTTCGGAAATAATAAAATGCATAATTAAGTTAGTAGTTCACCAAGGCGGAATTAGCCGCCATCACGGCCTATAGTGAGTTTTGGGTCGTGACAAATTTCGATATGAGATTAATCTAAAGTGACATATGTACCATACTTCTTAAGCTTGCGAGCCTAGAAAGCCTACCTATCCTCCTAGATCCATCCTTGTCGGTTCGGCCTCTGTCATGGGTGTCACATTCACCCTTCTCTTCCTTCTTAAAGACGTCCTTGTCGCCCACTACCATACTGAAATCCAAGGTCGGCCGAAATTATCTAGAAAAGAAATTAGCTCATCCATTGTGGACGAGAGTATGTGCACCCCAAGTGCCGCTGCCCCAAGGCAGCTCGCTTGAAGAAGATCTACATTATTATATAATTGCATAGCTTACGCACCCATGGTGGGTGGTAGGGGTGGCAAAATGGTTCAAAGAAAACAGTTATCCACCCATATTATCCTTTAAAAAATGGGTTGGATAATGAACTATTTAAAAACAGGTTACATATGAATAAGAATCATATTATCCATTTAGAAAATGGATAACTAATGGGTATAACTTTTATATTTGTAAAGCCTCAAATTTGGGGTTCCTCAAGTTAGGGAGACTAAGAATTTTCTTAAACGTGATCATATGCAAGAAGTCATGGATAATATTACTCACATTATTCGCCGGTTAACCCGTTTTTTATCCATATTAAATATGTATCGGGTCGGATAATTTATCCTTTTTTTTCATTACTCGTTTTTGACTTGAACTATATCCGACCCGACCTTGCCCGTTTGCCGCTCCTAGTGGGTGGTAACAGACGCCTAGTAGAACGCTAGCCGGACCCGAATTACAATTGTAATCTGCTAATGCAGCCGTTGTGGGTGCTGCCATACGTTTAGTACTTTCCAATTAATAAAATAATTTACTTATTTACTCTTGATCGATGTGAAAAATTGCTGAGGCAGCATCGAATGACGTGGTCATATTTGTCTTCGCTGAAAAAAGCATTCTAAAATAAACAAGCACGGGACAAGAATGATCATATATGTGTTTCCGTATGAAAAGATTCTTTACTGATAAAGCTGAAATCTCTCTTTAAATGAAATTTATGTAAAACTGTTTCTTTGTAATTCTAGCTAGGATTTCGTTGGGTGCTAATTGACTTAAATCAAATGTCTTTTTCAACTGGTCTGAGCTCCTCATTAATCCCCTATGTAATTTCAAATCAGTGGAGATAATGAAACATAATCACGAATTCCTCAATTCCTCAAAAACTGTATTAACAGAAAACAGAAAGTGTCTCAGGTAGTACTATGAAAATAACTTAAATTGGAGCTCTATACTGCTTTCTTTTGCTCATATTTATCAAATGTTCAACTTTGAATTTTCGGTTCAATCTCGTGGGGCTAAGTTTCCCTATATAGTGGTTTGTGAATAATTGGGTAAGCAATATACAAATTAAATTGAAAAAGGTACTCATAATTTACTCGAAATTAAACTTCCTGAACTTATAATTTAAATACCATCTGATGTTAATTATGATAAATAGAAAGGAACGTAAAATTTTCAGAATCAAATAAGTTTGTTTGTTGAATATTATATTTTGTTAGATTACACGCTTGATACTTTTTCTACTATTATTTAAAAAAATAGAATCATTTCTTCTTTATTCCATAAAAAGCCTTTTTTTTTACATTATTATCATAATACAAATTTATGCTCGACACTAATCACGCTTTCTTGACCTTTTCTTTTTTAATAACTCCGTGCATTTCAATTAAACATGGGAATAGAAAAGCAATTTTTATCTCTTTTAGGTGGAGATAGACTCCTTCAGAGTAGTCATTTCATGGATCGTATACACCCACAATTACAGAGGATTCACTCAATTAATTCGTATAGCATATGAATTATCCATGATACTACAATTATAACAATTACTATCCCATGTATAATATTGGAAATTAACTTACATAAAAAACACAACTAAAAGGCATGAAACATCAATAACAATATTATGCTAAGATAATACCATATATCATCATTATATCAAAATTATACCATACATATAATTAGCAAATATCTTACATACCAACACATATGAAACATTAAATACCATCATTATACTACAATTATACGATATACAAGAGCTCCAATTTATATTATATGGGTAATAATTAAAAATACACGAATTATATTCATATTTGAAATATTAATTGGTATTTGAATGATACCATCATTAATATACAGTTACATATTCAAAATACATCATAAAATATTATGGCATATATTTAAATTCTTGAAAAACATTGATAGTTTCAGTTGAAAAAATACTTCAAGTAAACCACTATTATACCTATCAGATATTTTTTTCATTTAGTTATACATATCTTATCTTCCACTACTTAACTAACGTCCTGGTAATGCTATGAGTACTATAATAAAATGCAAGATATTAATTTATAAAAGGAAATATATAACAAACTAATGAGTAATGAAGACCGAAAGCGCATACAATTAGGTAACAAATAAGCGTGAATCTCGCCCCAAGAGAGAGTTCCGTTGTGGGAAGCTGTTATGATATATAAATATTTTATTGCCATAAATGATAATTAAGTTATGTTGCTACGTTTTCGTAAATTTTATTTAAATGTTGCCAAGTTATGTATTTAGCTCTTTTCTTTTTAATTTCTTTTACAAGTATGACTGTATGAATATGCCCTTGTCATAACAATATCATGATTTTCATCTTTTTTTTTTTTTTTTTTAGTTATCCCCTTTTCACTTTATATGACTGCGCAAATTATTGTAAGATAAGGTCTTATTCTGTAAAAGGTTTTGATTATTTCTTTAGACTTCAGTCAAAAAATCTTCTTAACCTTCGATTTGCGAATTGCATTAGGGTAGCTGCTAGAGAGGTCTTAGGGGTCACGAAGGGCTCTCCCGGGGCTCATAGAGGGGACTGGTGGTGGAATGGAAAGGTCCAAGGTAAAGTGAAAACTAAAAAAGCTGCTTATTTGAAGCTAGTAGAGAGTACAAACAAGGAGGAAAAAGGACTTATCGGGAGTGTTACAGAAAGGCAAAGAATGAGGCAAAATTAGCAGTTACGACGGCTAAAAATGCGGCGTTTGCTCATCTGTACGAGGAGCTCGGGGGCAAAGGCGGGGACAAGAAGTTGTACCGGTTGGCCAAGGTGAGGGAGAGGAAGGCTCGTGACTTAGACCAAGTCAAGTACATCAAGGACGAGGATGTCAAAGTATTGATGGACGAGGCACTTATTAAGAAAAGATGTCAGACATACTTTCATAAACTGTTGAACGAAGAGGGGGATAAACGCATTGTGCTGGGTGAGTTGAAGCACTCCGAGAGTCGGCGGGATTTTGGATACTGTAGGCGGATTACGATAGAGGAGGTGGAAAGGGCGATGCGTAAGATGTGCAGGGGCAGAGCGACGGGGCCAGATGAAATCCCGGTGGAATTTTGGAAGAGCGCGGGCGAGCAAGTTATGAGTGGCTCACTGGGCTGTTTAATGTTATTTTTAAGATAAAGAAGATGCCCGGAGAATGGAGGTGGAGTGCGATGGTTCCGCTTTACAAGAACAAGGGTGATATCCAAAATTGCAACAATTATAGGGGTATCAAGCTATTGAGTCATACTATGAAGGTTTAGGAGAGGGTGGTGGAGGCCAGCGTGAGGAGGTGTGTGTCTATTTCCGAGAATCAGTTTGGATTCATGCCGGGGCATTCGACTACGGAAGCGATTCATCTGGTTAGGAGATTAGTGGAGCAGTACAAGGAGAGGAAAAAGGACTTGCATATGGTGTTTATTAACCTTGAGAAAGCGTACGATAAAGTCCCAAGGGAGGTCCCATGGAGGCGCTTGGAGGCTAGTGGTGTTCCGGTAGCATACATTAAGGTGATTAAGGATATGTATGATGATGCTAAGACTCGGATGAAGACTGCGGGTGGTGACTCGGAGCATTTCCTTGTGGTGATGGGGTTACACCAGGGATCGGCTCTTAGCCCATTTTATTTGCCTTAGCGATGGATGTACTGTCGCGACACATCCAAGGGGAGGTGCCTTGGTGCATTCTATTTGCCGATGATATAGTGTTGATTGACGAGACACGAAGCGGAGTTAACACGAGGTTGGAGGTTTGGAGACTGCCCTTGGAGTCTAAAGGTTTCAAATTGAGTAGAACCAAAGCAGAATACTTGGAGTGCAAATTCTGTAATGGGACCCATGAAGCAGACGTAGAGGTAAAACTTGATGCTCAAGTTATCCCCAAGAGAGCGAGTTTTAAGTATCTCAGGTTTATGATCCAAGGTAACCGGGAGATTGACAAAAATGTCGCACATCGCATCGGAGTAGGATGGATGAAGTGGAGGCTCGATTCTGGTATTTTATGTGATAAGAATGTACCGCCAAGACTTAAGGGAAAGTTTTATAAGGTGGTGGTTCGACCGGCTATGCTGTATAGGGTTGAGTATTAGGCAGTCAAGAACTCCCACGTGCAAAAGATGAAAGTAGCAGAGATGAAGATGTTGAGATGGATGTATGGGTATACCAGGAGAGATAAGATTAAGAATGAAGTTATCCGAGATAGTGTGGGAGTAGCCTCCGTGGAGGACAAGATGCGGGAGTCGAGGCTGAGATGGTTCGGACATGTTAAGAGAAGAAGCATTGGTGCCCCTTTTAGGAGGTGTGAGAGGTTGGCCATGGCGAGTTTAAGAAAAGGTCGAGGTAGGCCTAAAAAGTACCGGGAGAGGTGATTAGACAGGACATGGCGCTGCTTCAGCTTATTGAGGACATGACCCTTTATAGGAGGGTGTGGAGGTCGAGGATTAAGGTAGAAGATTAGTAGGTAGTTTTTAGTTGTTAACTGATAGTCTTAGTAGCACGAATGTCCCTTCATACTGTTAGATTTTTATTACGTTATGTGATTTATTCGCCTCAGGTATTGTATTCCTTGTTGCTAGTATTTGATACTACTTATTCTTTATCTCTCCCTTTTCTTTTCTCTTCCCTCTTTCTTCCTTTCTTGCTATCCACTTCTTCTTATTACCCTTTCTGACCCGAGGGTCTATTGGAAACAGCATTTCTATCTGCTAGGTAGGGGTAAGGTCTGCGTACAGACTACTCTCCCTAGACCCCACCTGGTGGGAACAAACTGGGTTGGTTGTTGTTATTTTTGTAACTAATATTCTTTCTCCTAATTTATAAATAAAAAGACTCATAATTTTGAATCGGACAAAAGACACATGTACAATAATTTTTGTTTAGCAGTTAAAATTTCCGATATCAATATCTATTAGGTATCTCTGTCACAATTAACTACTACTTCTTGTAAGACATTTACACAACTACAAATGTCTAACACATATAGAGAGCGGAATTATAACGAAATAAAAGATCGACTTACCTCCCGCCGTTATTGTTTGAGAAAAAACTGTGTATAGGTACTTCTACACTGTATCAACTCACTTTAGATGGTGTAGTGACTTTCTAAATTACATGGTATAGGGATCTATCACCACCTTCTTAAATAGGAAATCACCCTACATTTTTCTCCATCAGAAATACACAGGAAGCTAACGGGAAATTAATGTATCATACGTTAACCTCACTTTGAGTTTCAGTGGCACATTCTTGTCACACAGGACTCTAGACACTAACTTCCATTTCATCCACCTCACTCCTATACGGTGCGTAACATCCCCATAGATCTCCCCATCTCCCTGGATAATAGACCCTAAGAACTTAAAACTTTCTCTCTTGAGGATGACCTATGAGTCAAGCCTAACTTCCACATTTGCTTCCTCCGTCACGTTGTTGAACTTACATTCTACATACTCTGTCTTAGTCCTGCTCAACTTGAAACCTTTAGACTCTAGAGTCTGCTTCCATACCTCCAGTCTCCCATTAACGCCGCCTCGCGTCTCATCAATCAGAACTATATCATCAGCGAACAACATACACCATGGCACCTTTCCTTGGATATGGTGTGTCAGTGCGTCCATCGCCAGAGCAAACAAGAACGGGCTTAGCGCAGATCCTTAGAGTAATCCCATAACCACCGAAAAAGGCTCTGAGTTACCTCTCACAGTCCTAACCCGAGTCATAGCTCCATCATACATATCCTTTATCGCCCTAATGTAAGCCACCAGCACACCTTTCACCTTCAGACACCTCCAAAGGACGTCCCTAGGGACCTTGTCATATGCCTTCTCCAGGTCAATAAACACCATATGCAAATCCCTCTTCCTATCCCTGTATAGTTCCACCAACCTCCTGATAAGGTGGATAGCTTCTGTAGTAGAACGGCCCGACATGAACCTGAACTGGTTTTCCGATATAGACACTGCCCTCCTTATCCTCATTTCCACCACCCTCTCCCAGACTTCCATGGTATGACTTAGTAACTTGATACCCCTATATTTGTTATAATTCTGGATATCCCCTTTGTTCTTGTATACCGAAACCATTGTACTCCACTTCCACTCATCAGGCATTCTCTTTATCTTGAAGATAATATTAAACAGCTCAGTCAGCCACTCCAAGCCTGCCTTACCCGTATACCTCTAAAACTCTACTGGAATCTCGTCAGGTCTGGTCGCTTTGTCCCGACTCATCTTACCCATCGCACCTACGATTTCCTCAACCTTAATGCACCTCGGAGTGCCCCAATTCCCTAACACGATGTTTCCATCCCCCTATTCATTCAGAAGTTTATGAAAGTACGACTGCCATCTTTGCCTAATCTGGTCCTCTTCCATCAATACTTGATCGTCCTCGTCTTTGATACACCTCACTTGATCCAAATTGCGAGCCTTCTTCTCTCTCGCTTTGGCCAATCGAAATAACTTCTTATCCCCACCTTTGCCCCCCAGTTCCTCATAAAGCCGACAAAAAGCAGCAGTCTTAGCCTCTGTGACCGCTACTTTTGCCTCCTTCCTAGCCTCCTTATATCTTTCTCTGTTCGCTCTCCTTTGATCCTCGTCGGTGCTCTCTACTAACTTAGTGTACGCCGCTTTCTTAGCTTCCACTTTACCTTGGACCACGTCATTCCACCACCAGTCACCTTGGTGCCCGCTATAATAGCCTTTCGAAACTCCCAACACTTCTCTTGCTGCCTCCCTTATACAGTCTGCCATCACCGCCCACATAATGTTAGCGTCGCGACCACTCTTCCAGGCACCCATATTTGTCAGCCGCCCCTCCAACTCTTGTGCAGTATCCTTAGGCAAAGCTCCCCACCTGATCCTCGATGGACCCCATATAAACTTCTTCTTCCTCTTCATCAAAATACTGACGTCCATCACTAGGAGCCTATGTTGAGTTGTGAGGTTCTCACTCGGGATCACCTTGCAATCCTCGCACAACCCCCTATCATGCCTCATGAGGAGGATATAGTCAATTTGAGTCTTAGCCACCATACTCCAGAAAGTAACCAAATGTTCCTCCCTCTTCGGAAACATAGAGTTCACGATCACCAACTCAAAAGCTCTAGCGAAATCCAACAATGAGGTACCACCCCCGTTCCTATCACCAAAGCCAAAGCCACCGTGCACCTCACCATAGCTACCGGCCGACGACCCAATATGACCATTGAAATCCCCTCTTATGAATAGCTTCTCCATCGGCGGAATACCCCGCAAACCCTTAATCCAGCGCCTCCCAGAAGCGCCTTTTTACCTCCTCGCCCAAGCCCGTTTGTGGCACGTAAGCGCTAATGACATTTAGAGTGCTCCCTCCAACTACTACCTTAATCGCCATCAATCTGTCATTCACACGTCTTACCTATACCACCGACTCTCTAAGCTCTCTGTCCACCAAAATGCTCACTCTGTTATTGCGCTTCACGACTCCGGAGAACCACAATTTATACCCGTCTACATTCCTTGCCTTCGATCCTACCCACCTAGTCTCCTACACACACGCTATATTGACCCTCCTCTTCTGGAGAATCTTCGCCAGCTCTATAGACTTACCCATCAACGTCCCTATATTCCACGATTCAACTCTCAACCTACAGGCTACCTTGTTTCCTTTACTCCTTTTGG